TTCCAACATCTGCAGCTACAAGTGCCGGTGAGTCGTTGATTCCATCTCCCACCATTGCCACAACATTTCCTTCAGCCTGTAGACGGTAACAAATGTAAAATGTATGCAGTTAAAATAACAATTTGGCACATACGTGCTATGTCAAGATAACAAAGAGAATATCCATGAGCAGCATACTAAGTATATGACTAGGTGTAAGGTGATGCGAAGCATGAAAAGGGCACATGTTACATAGCACTGGTTACTTTTACACTTCAATGCCCAGTCTCCTAGACTCGTTAATTTTTCGGCATCGTACTTTCATTGACTGGAGGTCAGGTCGCATGTCCCCTCCTGAGTTTGTAGTTTATTTTATTTCAATATTAATAAATACTCCACCTTTGTGTTGGTTGGATAACCCTCCCCCATAACAGATATGATCCATTGGTTAGATGGAAATTGGATCAACAAATCAAATTATTCACGAGTTCGTTTTTACAAGAATGGTCGAGATATTTTACTCACCTGTAGTTCCTTAACTTTCTCGGCCTTATTCTCAGGTTTAGCTTCTGCAATGACTGTATCTATCCCAACTTCCTTGGCAATGGAATTCGCAGTTCCCCAATTGTCACCTGTGACTACTATACTCTTAACTTTCATCGACTTGAGCATGGAAACAACTTCACGAGCCCCCGGCTTCAATGGATCAGATATGGCAAGAACTCCAACCAACTCCCTGTCGATGGATACAAGAATCCCAGTTTGGGCCAACCCTTCAGTTTCTGATAGTATTTCCTCGGCATCAAGTGGAATATTGATGTTTTGCGCCAACATTAAGCCCTTGTTTCCCACAAGAACTTCCTTGTTTTGAACAATGGCCTTCACACCATGGCCAGTTATGGATTCAAATTCCCGGGCTTCAGGCCAGAAGGGGTTCTCTTCATCTTGCCTAAACTTTTTGGCATACTCAACAACCGCCTTGGCTAATGGGTGTTCACTGTTTACCTGTTAAATCAAAACACAAACCATTATCGAAGTTATTACTTGTTGGATAAAGTGCAGTTATTATGAGAATACGAAAAAGGGGCCAGCATGGATTAGTTTAGTTCTAAATCTGATGTAATTTGTACCCGTGGACACACCGTGATCTTCATCTAAAAAAAGGATCTTGTTTTCTACAAAATTGTAAGACACATAGAGATCCTTTTTTAGCTTAATGAAAGTTCCACAAAACATTAGGAGTCTCAGTATTGAGGTTGAAACTAGAAGCAGAATGTACACAAGCCATCCCAATTAAAGATCTGAAGTTAAAAATGAAATACCTCAGCAGCAGCAACCAGCTCATAGAATTCTCGAAGAACCATATTTTTCAAGAGTCTCGTGTTTACTACTACTGGCTTTCCAACTGTGAGAGTTCCCGTTTTGTCGAAAACTATACAGTTCACCTGTCACAATACAGCTGGTAAATATTCATAAAAATTAAGTCCTTGATTTCAGTCATTCAACTCACATTTTTTGGCTACAATATATGATTGCTGTTCTGTTTGTCAACATGCATATTTGGCTATGCTTAAAACGTTCACTCAGAAGTAAATAATTAAAATTTTAGAGGCCAAAGTTGGAAATAAGTTATTATTTTGAGATTAAGACAAGACTCTGTGATGCTCGACCCTTCTTGTTAGTCGACATACCCATGTCGACACGACACGAGTACTGGTATGAAATACGGGTCGGACGTGGCAAATTTCAATCGGACACGGCCAGCAGCGGAACCTGTTGAGCTGATGCCGGAATCGCCATTTGTTGCAGAGCCAGAAGTCGCGTAGGGACGATGAAGGAGGAGGAGGAGGGTGTTGGACTTGGGCCTGATTTTTGTTTTAAGTTTTGGACCTTTTGGGCTTTAAAACATTGCCCTTTTTTAAAAAAAAAAAATTATTCATTGTAGTTGAAATATATTTACAGTCTTACAGTCTTATTGGTTGGGTTTATTTATTTATTTATTTATTTTGAATTTTACAACCTTATTGATTGAGCAAATTACACGATGTTTATCATTTCTTAATTATGCTTTTAGTTCTTTTGATATAGATAAGATCATTTTAATTTAAAAAAATCATGATTAATGTTGTTACAAAATTAAAAAAAAAAAAAAAATTAAAATATGACTTTTTTTTTTTCCCAAAACGATTGACATATAATTATAAAATCAACATATATAAATTTTTTTAGACAATTTAAAAGCAATTTTTGAAATTAATATTTTTTTAAAAACTTGACAAAATAGAAATAATCA